AACTCAGAAATATTGAAGAAGGTTAAAATAAACCTTTTTGTTTAGTCTTAAATTGAACAGAACAGGCACAACTTATGCTACAGACAAAACTTTTACTACTTGTCATATTTAAATTAATGTAACAAAAGTTTAATTCCAACATAGATAACGTAGTGTAAGACTATTACTTAAGCTGGCTGAGAATTTTACTGCCATTTTTTAAAGCATTGGCTAGCAAGACACTAAGGCCAGAATATAAGCAAAATTGGCAAAAATAAATAGCAGCAAGTTGTGGCTGCTAGAAGCTTTAAACTAAACATTCAAAACTTGCAACTTAAATACACACAAACCTATTTACCTTTGATCTTTCCCCACCAGAATATAAATAATTCAAGGGCAAATATCTTAATGACCTTGGATGAGAATTTAAAATTCTATTATCTACTAGCATATAACAAAAATTAATTAAATTCTTGTTAAATTCTTGAATTAATATTCTGCAAACCTTCTCTTAATTTTTAGGCCTACCAGTGATCAAGCAGTAAATGCTGAATATTAGTAGTTCAGTCCAGGGTTTGAATCCCAGAGAACTGGCTGGTTGCATGTGTGTTTTCGTTGTTTTTCCCGTGTGTAACATGTATACAACTCAGTTTCCCTTAGAAAGTCCTCCATGGAGGCATCCTTTCCCTTAGCTAGCTAGCCCTTGATGCTTTTCCATAATCAAATAAGTTTAACTTATAGTCAGCAAGAATGCTAAAGCTGAAACGTTGTCTTTAAACAGAGCTGACAAGGAATACCAACAGCAAATGCAACTGCCAGAAGCTCTTTGAACTAAAGATTCAAAAACTGCAGTTTAAATATACTCAAAGCTGATCTTCATTCTGGTGAGGAACACAGAAAGAAGAAAATATATAGTAAAGACCAAATTCATAATTACTTGTTAATTACTACCAGAATTCAAATAATTGCAAGTGAAGACCAAGATTTTAAATTCTAAGATCTAACAGTATGAACCAATCATTACAATCTCGTAGTTATATCTTTAAATTTAAATTCATGTTGTACAACATTTGTTTTTGGATAATATCATATCTCCTTATATGAATCTCGAAGGAAGAATAGTTTAGCCATAGAAATACTTAAGTTATAATTTTTCAAGTTACCTGTCACAATTTGCATGTTTTCTGGGGGGGAAGTTAACTTATTTTTTTCATTACCTGCTCCCGAGCATTTGTAACAGATGAACAATTGTGTTAAGGTGTGTGATTTTTTAAACTACTATTTCCCAAACAATTTCTTACATGGTCGATAGCTTACCTCTAGATCTCTACGACACTATTTAAAAAATTTATGCCTGCATTTTCAAGCCATTTAAACCTGGAGAATATGTTCATATTTTTATATAAATTAAAGCAGCGTTTTAAGTTTCCTCTTGCCTGCATGCAAGCACCTCTTTCTTTTTGATCCTGTGTGTGGATTTTGATTTATTAGATTGTAGCAAAACACAGTGAAGCTATTTGCCTAAAGGAGGTACCTTTATGGAGGGCTTTCAAAGAATGTGTAAATGTGAAATTTTCTTCAATACAGCTTTAATCTTATCGCTTGGATGTGATATAGATTTGTGCGCAGTAATTGTTTTAATAGCATTGGTTTGTTTCCTGTGTTACGGCCTGTATTTGGTGAATGTGTTGCTAGAAAGTGGTGTTTCATTTGTGAAATTCTTCAGAAAGTGAACCGTTTTTATGGGTATATGCCTTTTATTGCCAAAGGCTATATGCCAGTCAGCATTTATAGGAGGATGCTCACTGTATATTGTGAAAATTGTTATCATGAAAGTCTTTTGGGCACCATAAGACCCAACATTAATCAAATATAATCATTACATTTGAATTAATAGAGCAAGAGCATTAAAGTGAGAAACTGAATTGTAGAAAAACCATACATTTCCTGGAGCAGAAATTGAGCATAAGTTAATGCATTGTGCAAACTCATGCATTAAAAATTAGAACAGAGAAAAGTGTGTGCACAATGGATGCCAAACTTATTGTTGGACTTATAGAATGTATCTGCATGGGCCTTGTTTTGGAATATTTGTTATGATAAGAAGAGTGATCAAGTGTTTCTTTTTAGATTAGGGATGCAACTGACATGCTTCTTTCACCTCATAGCAGAAACAGATCGAATTAGCCTGTAGTAGAAATAAGTTCAAAGTAAACCACACAATAAGTTCAAAGTTATGCCATTTATTCAGAAGCTTTTGTTAACTCTGTTTTCTGATGAAAGGGGCTGAATACTCACTCAACTTCCTCCATGAAAGAGGTACTTTTAAATCCTTAAATAATTTAATTCCACCATCAAAATCAAAAAGTATGGAATATTGATCTTTGGTATTGTGCTTTTACCAGGTAATACTCAGCCATATATTTCTTGTGAAACAAAATTCTTCTGATGAAATATTAGGTCAAGGTACTACAGTATCTGCCTTGTTACTTGTTCAAAAAAAAAAAATGTATGCTTTCAAAAAGAAGCAGTATGAGCAGGAAATATTTGTGAAGCATAAAAAAATTTTTCTTCACATTGTGAATCTGATTGCAAATTTATGCATTTCATTTTGCTTTTCACAAATAAGTTTGTTGTCAACTGAGAATGGAATAGTAAATATACTGAATGCATTTATATTTTCTAAAATCTTGAAGTCTGTTCCAAAAGTCTTCTGATAGAATAACTGTCAACAGTGCATACATTTTTTTCTTTGTCCGGACAGTGTGAGTGAAGTAAATCAATTTCCTGCTTTTTTATTGTGAGATTGCTTGTATTGTTACGTTTTTCCTCTTCCTATTCTTCTGACACCAGCTGTTGCGTTATTTTCTTCCTTCACGTTCATATGGGGTTCGTAGATTAGGCGTGAATAACGACGACACTTGATGAAGTATCGAAACACACTTTATTAGCCAGTATGTTCAAGACAGCTCCAAAACACGTTACAGTCGTCGATGAACTACTATAAACATGCTGACACGATCAGCACACAGACTTCACTGTCAGGAAATAACGGTGGGACAGCTTCTGCAAAGCACCGATTCTGCTTTCGGGAGTACAGCTCCGACTGGGCTTGGCCTTCTATGAACTCTATGTACTATAGAGACTCTCCACGCTACAACTCACAAGCACTCAAGACACGGAGCAAGCTCGACTCGGTTCAGTGGTCTCCAGAGCTCAGAGAACGCTATCCGAGATGCACTAACCGCGATACTCTACCAGACTCCTTCAGGGCCGCGATGACCACTCGGCATCGATGCAGTGTCAACTCTATCGACTTCGCAGGGATTTGTCGTAGACGGGCAACAATTCTAGATGAGAGACCGCCTCCTCTTGATGAAGCACACACCCTGACTGCGGACCAGCATGGTTTATATAGCTTTCGGCTTGTGTTCGGAAACATTCTGGACTAAACTGGTAAGAATTCGTTCCAGAAGGTTATCCAACCGTCCATGGTATATCGCCAATTTTATCACCAAATGTGCGATTTCTCGCCAAATGTGGCAACCATGCCCTCCTTGCTATTTTATGGCCACCCTAAAACTGCTTTGCGGGGGAAGCTATCTTGCCGCGCCTTTACATTTCATAACAGTATTTTTAAGAAGTTTACATTATTCTTATATTTCTGTAAGAGTCAAAAGGAAGCAGAATATTAATGACTACAATTAATTTTTTAGCATTCAGTTTATTTTTAATGAATGATTTAAAACTGTTATTACAGATGATATACAGTTAAATTACATCTTATTATGAATATGCTGATCAGTCAGATTATTTTTATTTTCAGCTCTAAAAAAGTGCTATTCAAATATAATGTATTCCCAAACAAAGAGATTATTCTTAGTGCAAAATTTCATAATTATACCTTTTTTGATGAGTAGAATGAAAGTTGCTGAAAATCTGTATCTTCAAATCTTTGAATAAGATTTGTATCACATTGTAAATTAGTTAGCTCCATTTATATACTTTCTGATGTGTTATTCACATTCATTTTTAATGGTAACTGACATGATGTAAACTTGGATTATCTGCAACAGATTCACATTGCAAATGTCTTTGCAGGCCACATAAAATCATTTTGAAGGCCACATGCATCCCATCAGTCACCAGTCTGAAACCGTGTCCTATATAATTAGCTTAACCCTCTTAGCAGTGCAGGATTTTAGACCTATCATGAAGGCCTGTATTAGAAAAGCATTTATTAGCTAAATTTGTAAAATTACTTACTTTAAGCTCTATTTTCATAAACTTACATTTATTAAGATGATGTAAAGAAACAAAATATCTTAAATTACAAGCTAATTTATGCCAAGTGACCAAAATTCTGATGACCGGATAAAGCTGGTTATGGTGCTCAGTAGGTTAGAAACTATACTGGTCATAGCATAAATAACTTTAAACTGCTTTTCATGGCAAAGAGTGTACTTTTTTGTGAAATGGAACTGTGTTTTAGTGCTAAAGTAAATGATTTATTTAAGGTTACAACTGTGATAAAAGAAATTTCTCATTTGGAAAGCAACCCACTCGATTGGTCAGTTGAAGAAGTAGTCAAATATTTACAAAAGACAGACTGTGCTCCTTTAGCTCCACTTCTAAAAGATCAGGTAAGAGTTCCTTAAATTTGTTATCAATAAGCTATTCCTTAATTTGGTTATCATAATCTATTCTTTTCTTGTGCCAAAAAAAGTGGTATTTTCCTTTGAAATCATAATAGCAGTAAACATTTGAGATAAAGCACAAATTACATTTTAAAATTTTAGCTTCAGACTTACAAACTAAGAATTTAAGACTTGAAGGAATATACAGTACAAAGTCTTTAATCCGTATCTCCATAATCCGGAATGATCTATAATCTGGACCTCAAAGCTACAAACTTTCTGTGCATCCGTAGCGTTTACGCATGTGCATAATACCTTTATGCATGCGCATTTAATGTATAACGGATAGTATAAGTAGGCTTAAAGTATCTAATTATAGATTTCAGTTAATGTTGCAGATTGTGTGGCCTTATTAATCTAATTGGATCCAGCTATTATTTTTGAGCTGATAGACAATTTTAAAAAAGTAGTTGAATTTTCGATTGGAGCTGCAAAGGATCACAAAGCGAAAGCATGTTCAATGTACATCAAACAAAAAGTGGAATGCTTGTTGCAACAAATGGATAAAGTCTGAGAAATGACAGAGAGCTTAGTGACAAGAAAAAATTTCGATTGACAGTTAGTCGGTATTCGCGGCACAGAATTAAAGGACTTGAACGTGGAAGTTGTAATGAACAAGAAGTTATGTGTTTATGAAAAAGAGAAAGAGCACATAAAGCAGCAACTTAAACAACGTACATTGAAAGAAATTTTAAAAAGTAAACAAATAAATATTGGCTTTTTTTTTTTTTTTTTTTTTTAAATTTGTACCTTTAGTCACAATTGCTCTTTATTTCATAAATTAGGTTTTCTTTTTATTTATAATTTCTGCTGCATTACCGCATTAAATGATTATCTAATCCGGAAAAAAAAACCCGGAATGCCGAAGTCCAAGATCTGGAATAAAGATTTTATTTTGAAAAGAACTGATTATAGCAAATCACATTTAGCTATACTTGAGTAACTTTTTTATGGTTGCTTTATCTCTTTGAAGCTATTCTGTAGTTAATAATAAAATTATAACTTTGGAGAGGGACTAAAACTTTTAAAACCAAAGTTATAGTAAGGAAATTTAAAAAAACAAAAATTCAGATGGAAATTTCTTATACAAGTTTCTTGATGGAATTTGTTAGCTATCTGATTGATTGGATTATTTACACTTAGCAACCATCCTTCATCTGGTATGTCATCTCACCTTCAAGTAACTTTTTGGGGGGAGAGAGATATATGTCCCCTATATATATATATATATATATATATATATATCAAGGTAAACTTGATATTCAGTTCACTGATTACATGTGAAGGCTTAAGTTATATATTAGAATGTCTGTCCAAATTATGTGCTTTTTGTGTCATCACACTACATTTCCATTATCAGACCATTTGAATATCCATGCTTTCTTGCTATTGTTACCACTGTACAAGATTGTCAGATTTTCAATTTATCTTCCATGTAGTCTATAAATACCGTAATTTCCGGAAGAAAGGCCGCATCAGCGTAAACGCTGCAATAAATTAAATGGCACATGACATCGTCGTGGGCCATATAGATGCAAATCTCACCTAAGTCCTGGTATATGACGTACAGTTAAGAAAATGCGGAAATGAAACAATAACTCAAAAAAAATTAAGGTAAGAAATGTTGAAAAATATTTACGTTCACGTATATACTTATATTTACCCACTAAAGAAGTCATATTTGAATACTCGTCTATATTTAAAAATGTTGCACAACGAAATATAAATTTGTATGCAAAGGAAATTTTAAATTTCTTACAAAGAAATTACAGCAAACTATACATCATATGAAGCCATCAAATCTATTCTTCACTATCTGAATTAAAAGATTTATAAATAGATCTAAGTCCAAGTCTTCCAGATCGTCACTTCAATCCTCTTGGTTTTACAGTCTCTTTATCTAAGGAGATAATTTCAGCTTCTTGGACCCTGCTTTTATTGACAAGTTTTACCGATTCCACGCACTTCCTAACCCATTTGTAACTTCTTCATAAAGATGCTCTAACGCATTTTACCGCTTTGGTACATATGCAATCTTCACTCATCCAACACGCCCCTGCTTTCGGACTTCAGCTTTGAAGGATTTATTACCTGACAAATCTAATGTTTGTAAGATTTTTGTTAAACCACCAGGAATTATTGCTATGGTCGTAGACAATTTTTGACATCTGGTTTTCACTGACTCAAGTAAATGAGTCCATTCTCATGGAATCCATTCTCAATAACTTTTTGGTTGGAAAAAAGATCCCTTACGACACTGCCAAACATTTTGTAGCCTCTCATGCATGATTTTATCGCACATCCAGCCGCTCTCATTTGCACAAATAATTACATCATTAGGAAAATCTCCCTTCGGAATAGCTTTCATTTAAATGATCATCGCTTTAGCTGTCACCGTTTGCGGCACAAGCTAACACAATGTATTGTTCTTTCATGCCCCATCGTAAGCAAGATCATTTTTGACCTGTTTCATCAACAGTTTGTTTGCAGGAGAGTCGAAGCTAGCGGCTTCATCCATATTATTATCTGTGACCGAAGAATTTTTTTTTTTTTTTTTTGTCAATAATATTTGTCACAAATTTTAAAAGATGCCTTTATTCCTGCCGTCCATTGGTAATTATTTGCCCGATGTTGTTCTGTATGCACAGAAATATTTTTTCTTTTCATAAATCTTATACACCACAAAAGCCCCTTTGAAATCATTTATGTTCATTGTTTTGCTATAATTTACAGTCGAAGTTGCCATTCCTTTGCTCGTTGCTCCTTTATCCAGTTTGCAAGGTCATCCTCTAGATTCGGCCCCTTACAGTATCACTTCTTTGGCTTGTTTCTGTTGTGGCATATTTTTAAGAAGTTCTTTTTCGTTCTCCAATGTCGAATAATCTCTCGTCCCTTCAATCTCGGCTATGCTCTATTCCAATTGTTAGCACGTGAAGTTACATTAAGTTTAAAACCAGCAGTATAGCTTCTATGGCATTTAGATGCCATTTTCAAAAATTTTCCGCTCTCTTCTTACTTAAAAACTATCCAACACGTACTTGTAAACAAACTGATGGGATCTGTATCTGGCAGATTGCCAAGAAAAATCGATTCATGCTGAAGGGAAAATATGTCAGAGTTCGTTATTGTGAGGCAGGTGGAGTTGTGTCTGCCTTTGAAAAAAATTGCAGAAAAGCCAGGGGTGGGAAGAGGATGGGTCCTGCAAGATTCATGGAATGGCATAGGAGAGAGACTGTTCAAACTGATGAGAATATTGATTTGAAAGGGGGAAGAATGTTATTGTTCTGAGATCTCGTTAAGGGTGAATAAGGCATGTAGGTCCGTTCAAGGGAAAGAATATAAACAAAATAACATTCGCAAAAAGCAAGTGAGTGGTCTTTTGTGTGGGAACAGCACCCATTGTACATAGTTTGGATGGCCTTGTCATTGTACATAGACAAGGCCATCCAAACTATGTACAATGACCATCATAGGAAATATTTTATTTTTAGTGCACCTAAACGCCACATGGATAGAAATGCCGCACCCGCTGAAAATTAAAGTTTTAATCATGTAAACGCCGCTGCGTTTCTTCCAGAAATTACGGTAGTTGTTAAAGTATTGTCATTCAATGAGAGGTAAGACTTTAATTTATCTTCTGAGCCGTAGCTAGGGTTTTCAATGCCCAGAGACAGCTGAAGATTTTGTGCCTCCTCTTGTTTGCCAAGAATGGAAAACATTTCATTCTAAAATTTTGTAACATCAATTTAATGCCCCGTGTCAAATGTCCCCGTCTTGCCTTTCCCTAGCTATGCCACTGTTTATCTCCCAAACAATATACTTTAAACATTTTAAAGATAATAACATTGCTACTTTGTAATTTACTGTATTATTCCTCATTGTTGATCATCAGTCTAAGTCTATGATGATCTAGATCTTAATTTTTTTATTCAATTGAATTCTTTATTTCCCTTCTTTCTCTCATGCATATAAACAACAATAAATAGTATCACAATAAAAAAATTCAAAACTTACATGGTTTGTAATTTAAATATATTGACAGCTAAATTATTAAATTTTCATACTGTTTTTTTCAACAAGTTTAATTAATAACTAGATAACTTAATTTAAACTGAAAGAAATTATGAAGACTTCTGTAACTTTTTTTAGGGCATTTTCCAGGTGGAACAAAACTTCAGAACAAATAATGAAAGCTTACTCTCTATCTCATATTTATTAAATTTTGCATTGACACATAAATAAAAATACATGTGTTTCTATGTAAATAATTATAAACATATTTTGTCTCTTAGTGTCTCTTTAGTGTCAAGCTGCAGTTCTTTATATTTCTTTAATTTTTTTAATTGAATTCTTTATTTATTATTTCTGATATATATGGCCATATAAAAAGTCTCCATGGTTTTCTGGTACATTTTTTAATATTTTCTTTATTGAAATTCAATTTTAATCCAGTGCATATTGCCCATTATTATCTACGACCTTTTTCTATTTTTCGGGTAACATCATAATTCCATTAGTGTAGAACTTCTGAGGTTTATTGTCAAAAAACTTGGCTAAGTGATTTGCAGCGGCGCTTCAGTTGACCAATTTTTTAAAGATTTTTAGTGCAAGGTCGGAGGGATGCATCAAAACTTCCCCAACCAAGTTCTATCAATTTTTTCTGAGTCATCAAAGATGTGTGGCCAAAAATTGTCACGATGGAACACAACTCCCCCTTCTGTTGTCCAATTCAGGTCACTCTTTCTGGATTGCTTCATTCAAACAGCCGAGTTGTGCACAGTACAGGGACGAATCGATGGTTTCACCAGTTTGCAGCAGCTCACAATTCATGTGGCACCCTAACTTCGAGCTTCTTTTTGTAGCCTGCTCTTTTCAAATGATTCCAAACAACAGGAGGGGACAACAGAAGGGGGAGTTGTGTTCCATCGTGACAATTTTTGGCCACACATCTTTGATGACTCAGAAAAAATTGATAGAACTTGGTTGGGAAGTTTTGATGCATCCCTCCGACCTTGCACTAAAAATCTTAAAAAATTGGTCAACTGAAGCGCCGCTGCAAATCACTTAGCCAAGTTTTTTCATGTGGTTAATGTTTAGTGACTCAGCTACTTCCTGACAGCTTGCATGCTAGTCTTGCTCCACAAGTTGTGAAATTTCATCAACTATTTCAGTGAGTGGCTGATTAGAGTGAGATGCATCTTTGACATTGAAATTTCCAGAACAGAATCTAGCAAACCACTCCTGGGTCCTTTGTTCACTCGCAGCATTTTTGCCGTACACTTCACAAATTTTTCGCATGTTTTTGCCTTCTTTTATAGTAAAAAAGCATCACTTTGTGTATTTCTTCAGATATTTCACTCATTTTGAAATCAATATAACTTTTTACAGGAGCAACAAATTAGAAAACTATCTTCACAAACAACAGAAGCTGAATGTCACATTTTAAGCACATGTTCGTTTGAGACAATCAGGTGAGTGTTGCTAGATATATAGGCATCAACACAATCTATCTAGTGTCAAAAAACTGCAGAGACTTTTTATATGACCTAGTATATTAAAAATTTAAAATAGGGTTTCTCAGTTGAAATAAAGAAAACTCTCAAAGAATTAGTTGCTTATAAAAATGTATAATTCATCTTAAATTAAAACTGATTATAAATTTGTTTTCCTTAGGAAATTGATGGGCAAGCTTTGCTAATGTTAAATATAGCAAATGTTCAAGAATATCTTCATCTGAAACCAGAACCAGCCAAAAAATTTTGTTGCCTCATTAAAAGCTTAAAAATTGAGTTTTTCACTCATTTTACTGTTTAGAATTAATGTCAGATTATTACTTCGTATTTATTATTTTGCATGTAATTTATTATCTTTCATCTCTATTTGTAAGCTTTTTGTCCTTTAATTTTCAATAATTCATTATAATTAAAAAAAAAAGAAAAAAAGAAACTATTTTCGAAGGGTGTTCAGAACTGCTAAAAACTATCAGGATATATTGGCTGCTTTCACTTTACATCTTACAATCTTCTTTTTTTTTTTTTTTTTTTTTTTTTTTTTCCCCCAAGATATTTCCAAGCACATTTACAGTTTTCATACAGATATATCTAGTACATATTTATGAGCATTTAGTCATGGCAAGAAAAGAATCCTAGTCTTTAGACCACAATACTTTTAATTGCTAGACCAGAACAATTTGGTTCTTAATTTTTGAGGTTTATGATTATTAAGTGTATGAAAGTTTCCCGTGATTTCTGATTATATCATGTTATAATTTCCTTTTTGTTATTTCTATTGATAAAGACGTTTTAACTAAACAATTCAATAAATATGGTCTATTAATAAAAATAACATTATTTAATAACAGACTTGGAAATACTTCATTTTATATTTCTCTTGCAGAAAACTTTTATAGTATATATTTGTATAGTATTGTAAATAATGCTAAAGGTAAGAATAAAATTTGTATATGTAGTTTGTAAATTTATTTTTAATTCTTTCTGACTGAATATTTCCACTTGTAAAATATTCTGCATTAAATTATAAAGCATAAAAGTTAAAATATATATATATATATATATATATATATGTTTGAAGTAAGAACTAATAGTAATCATTGTTTTTGTCCAACTTTTAAGTAGAATTTTTTTTCCCTAAAATCCAGCATGTATAAAGTATTTTTACTGTTACACCAATATTTAGTAACATAATAAAAATACAATAGAAAAATTAATCTAATTTCCATTGCTGAAAAAGAAAGGCAGCATATTATCCATAATAAATGTGCAGGTACTTTTCTATTTAAAATTAATACTAGTAGTATGTTCACTTCTTTTGTACAACGTGCAGAAATTAGACTCCAAACTCAGTAAAAATTAACACCACCATTAGAGACAAGACATTTATTCCTACTCACTATACATATATAATACAGAAAAACTAGAAGGATTATACAGTACCCTCTCTCAGCAGGCAGTGGATGTCATATCACCCTGGGCCCCCACGACCCCCTCATCAGCTTAACTAGAAATTAAACAACTGAAATATAAATCTAAAACACAAAATTAAACAAACTGTAAAAATAATGCATAAAATAAATGAAAGAAATAAATCAAATCAATTAGTCATCCACAGGAAGTCGGACCAGTTTTTGGATTGGTCCCTTCATTTCATTTGAAACAGTTTTTAAGCTCACTGCTCTTACTCTATTGTCAGTTCCTCTTGCAGGTGTGAATTACTCTTGCCATTTTTCACTTAAGTGGTGGCAAGTTTTGATCCTTGATTAGCACCAAGTTTCATCACAGAGTTAACTATTTATACCCCTGCATGCATATAATTAAGATGATAAAATTTCACTAACAATTTCTTAACAGGATGATTCTTAATATTATTTGATGTTTCACAGAATCTGGTAAGCTGGTATTTCTTAAACATCCTCCCACACATAATATGCCACTGTAGTGTAACAACAGATTAGAGAAATTAAAAAAAACCTTTCTTTAACACTCTTGCTTTCTCTAAAGTAGCTATTTCCTTTTTATAGATAGTTCTTTGAACTAGTTTGATTATAACATCATGTGCTTCTTTTAGTTCACTGGTTTCTAAAAAGGAAGTCAAAATCCTATCCCCCCCTCACATTTTTTATAAACCTTAAACACCAAGAGACAATTCTCTGCAACTTGCTCCAAGCTGAAAATGTGTTCCAAAGCTGATCAACTAATTCCAACTGAATTACAAAACATCTAACCAAATTTTTCTTTTGTTCACATTGTATTTCCGCTCTCTCTACATTTACTAACCCTATAACCCATTGTTCAGGCCAACTGTCAAAACTTTTCCAAAGCCAAATTGTATCTGACCACCATTTTTCATAAAGTAGAAAACCTCTCAGCCAAGATTCCTCTAGTAAGCAAATTTACTGGATTATCCTCAGACGGGCAATAGTACCAATCACTTGGACTCTATCTTTCCTGAATTTCCACAACCCGGTTGGCAATGAACTTGTTTCCATCTCTTCACCCAATGCAATGCAATAGAAAATCAGTCAACACTATTTTTCCAATTTTATCCTTGAAAGGACTCATGTATCCCACTCTAGCACCTATTACCATGGCCATTATCTCTACTCTTTGACATTATAAAGGATACTCTGTAATCTCCATTACTCTCACAATATCTAAAATAAACAACTGTTCCATAAGCACTTGGTGAAGCATTGTAAAACACATATACTTTTGCTTATTCATTCTCACAATCAAAAAAACATATCCCGGAATAGTAACGTCTATCAATTTTCCGATTTTGTTACCCCATGTTATCCACTTTTGCTGCAAGTCCTCTGGCAACTCTTCGTCCAAACCACAAGCTCTCTCCCAAATTTCTTGTAACAATAACTTTATGCGTATCACAAATGGCATGATAAAACCAATAGGATCAAAGATTCTTGCAGCTGTCTGTAAAACACAACTTTTACTGTGTCGCAATGTTTTCCTGAATTTACCAAAACCTTCACCTCTAACAACAATTCATCTCTATCCAGTTCAGCCCTAGAAACTTTCAGCTGTTGAACTCCCACTATCTCACTGTCACTAAGTCCATTTTCTATCCACAATTTTTCTAATTCTCTACTGTTCAACCTCAGTTTCTTCAAATTAAATCCATCACTCTTTAATATTGATATAGCATCCGACAACTCAAATTATTCTCTCACTCTGTCTCCATCATAATATAAATTGTTTATGTAAAGTGCTGAATTCAACATTTCAGATGTCTTCAGTTTACTTCTCTCAAAGTTTTTTTATATGATACTTTATCATAGCACTCAAAATGAAAGGGGAACTTTTACATCTAAATGGTAGTCTTTTCATTCTCATAATTTTATATTCTTTAAGTTATCTGAATACCTAAGAAATTTTAAGAATCTTCTCTTTCAGAAATTTTTATTATTAAAATAGCCTTCTCTATATCACCACTGCACACTATTTTGTAATTACGAAATTTTAAAATCACATCAAGAATATTTGGATTTAAATTTGGGCCAATTTCCAAACAGTCATTCAGAGAAAGGTAATCCAAACTTTGGTTGTTTCTTTATCTTCCCTAACTTCTCTGTGAGGCATAAAATACTCATGCTTATATCTGTCATCCCTCAACAACTCCATTTTGCTTTTGGTCTTTTATTATTTATTTCCTTTTACTCATTGGCAACCCAATCATTTTTAGAAAAATTCTTTCCTAATTCATCAAACCGCTTTTTAGCTAAAAAATAATTGTTTCCTAATTCATCGTAGCTAAACTTCCATAATAAATCGATTTCATTCAGGAATCATTCATTCAGGAATTTTAATTTTTTCTCAAATCCATCTATCAACTACATTTAACTCTTCCTTTTCTTTAATCTCTAAAGCATCGAGCTCCCACAATACCTGAACATCATAATCAGCTGCACAAAAATTCTCTGAAACTGCAGTCTTAACAGTTGGCTTGTAAACATCTTGACTTCCCTGTAAAGCAAATCCAAAAATCGTTGGCACGCAAGTAATTTCTTGATTTATTTTTTCGAAAGAAGAGGCTTCTATAATCTTTCAAAACACATCTGTGCCAATAAAAATCTCAATGTTTATATAACTTTCACAACAGTCAGCTAAAAATAATCCGCAGTACTGCATAATATATTGTAGTTCTTCATTTGGAACAAAAACTGATGCCTCTGTAATAGTATCAGCCACTAGCATTTCAATTTGAATACAGTGATTAAGGTTTTATCTGCTAGATTGTGGGTGTCTAAACTATGACTGTTTGAGGGCCACATTCCATAAAAAAAAAATTTGCGAGGCCACACATACAATATTTTTTAACAAATTGAAATAAAAATTAGCTATATGTTGTTTTACTAAAATTAATTAATTTCTTTTTATTATTAATTTAATACTAAAAATTATTTCAAAAAACCAAAATTACTGTTCACCAGAATCTAAAGAAACATCATCTTCACTTTCCATTTTCGCACAACAACATCCCCAAATCACCACACAATGTTTTACACAAAATTAGACAATACACATGATCGCCACCTTATTCTCACATTACCCCACTCCTGACACCAAAAATCATGTTCACCTCTTTAGGGAGCGGAAATATGACTCCACACTCAGTAAAAATTAACACCGCCATTCGGGACAAGACATTTCATTCATTCATTCATTATCACTATTACCGGAATATTGCTGTTGTAACACAATCTAAGCGATGATATTATTATAAGTAGCATAAGGATTGGAATTGGGAAGAAGAGGGTGATTACAGGACATCAAAAGTGGAGAAAACGAGCAGACTAAAGCTGAAGACAATGAGAGGCAAAGACAAAGTAGATAATCTGATGTGACAAGACATTTATTCCTACTCACTATATATATACAAGGTTGTTCAATTAAGTTCACGAAGTGCCATCTATTCGTCAATATTATACCTAAAACTTTGACGCCATTTTCATATTTGTTCTTTCTTAGGAACACGTCAAAAGTTTCATTTCGATCTGTTAATTTATTCATGGTTTAACCGCGGCCTTTCTTCAGGAATGGATAAAATTGAGCAACGTGCAGTTATCAAATTCTTTGTAAAGAAAGGTTTAAAGGCAATGGAAATTCATACCGAAATGGTGAATGTGTTGGGTGAATCTGCTCCTTCAAAAACAATGGTTTGCAAGTGGGCTAGTTTATTCAAAAGTGGTCGTACCAGGATGGTTATTCTACGCTACGAGAGTCAACAGCAAGTTGGGGGCCACGAGATGTCGCTGCTAGTAAAAAACAGGTCTGCCCGACATCCTATATTCTCTGAGTACGGAAGTTGTCGAAAGCACGTGAAAAAGTGTTGCCGCGTCGTCAATCATGGTTGTGCTGTTGACGTACTAAGTAGGCAATGGCTTTGTATGTGTTTTCGCTGCTGATGTTTTCATATTTAAACGAAGAATATGGTTGTAGATCTCTGAATCAGTGGTGAATTTATAGAAAATATATTGATGCTTTTGCTCTGCCAAAAGATGTTTTCATTGCGTATTTCAGATTGCCAAAATTTATAGTTATTTTAATTTGCGATGAACTGAGAGAGTATTTCATACTTGCCAACCTATGACACTCAAAAATCAGGAGATTTTTTTAAGAAATCAGGAGATTTTCACAATGTTAAAAAGACTTTTTAAATGATAAAAAATAGTTTTTAATAATGAATTAACTTTAAATAGTTACTAAGTCTTAAATGCAAGCAAAACAAAAAAATACCTTAGACATAAAAAACTTTTTATTACTTTCATTGTTTAAAAAAAAAAAAGGCACTTGAATCATTTTCATACAAATGTTATGGACAGTGGCAGATTTTGCTCTCGTTAAGAAAGAACTTCATAATTTGTTCATAGCAATTGCCACGTAGGCCAGGCTTTCGGTAATAAAGTTTTTCTAATGTGTCATCACTAATATTAGATCTAAATT